CCTTCCTTGTTGTCTGTTGGCCAACATCCTTTTTTTAAGTCTCATTTCTCCCAGAAATATTCCCAAAGCCATCACATCTCCATAATCCCTCAACTAAATGTCCCATTTCCTTGCTTGCTTTACTTTTTTTTTTAATTACTTGGTTTTATGAAGAGTTTCTTTGCTCACACATGAGTTTTAAATGACTGTAAAGAATAACTCAAAGAAAATGGGCATCTTTGTCATTCAGAGGGATACTGAAGTCAAAAAAAAGCAAAGCACAGATTTAGTTTGTTTTTTAAATTTTCATAGAATCATAGAATCTTTGGGTTGGAAGGGACATTTTAGAGGTCATCTAGTCCAACACCCCTGCAATGAGCAGGGACATCTTCTACTAGAGCAAGTTGCTCAAAGCCCAATCCAACCTGACCTTGAATGCTTGCAGGGGTGGGGCATCTACCACCTCTCTGGGCAACCTGTGCCAGTGGTTCATCAGCCTCATTGGGAAGAATTTCTTCCTTAGATCTAGTCTGAATCTGCCCTCTTTTACTTTAAAACCATTACCCCTTGTCCTATCACAACAGGCCCTGCTAAAAAGTCTGTCCCCATCTTTCTTCTAAGCCTCCTTGAAGTACTGGAAGGCTGCAATACGGTCTTGTTGGAGCCTTCTCTTCTCCAGGCTGAACAACCCCAACTCTCTCAGCCTGTCCTCACAGGAGAGGTGTTCCATCCCTCTGACCATTTTTGTGGCCCTCCTCTGGACCTGCTCCAACAGGTCCACATCCTTCCTGTGCTGCGAGCTCCAGAGCTGGATGCAGGACTCCAGGTGGGGTCTCACCAGAGCAGAGTAGAGGGGCAGAATCACCTCCCTCGACCTGCTGGCCACACTGCTTTTCATGCAGCCCAGGAGACGGTTGGCCTTCTGGGCTGCGAGCTCACATTGCTGGCTCATGTCCAGCTTTTCATCCACCAGTACCCCCAAGTCCTTCTCAGCAGGGCTGCTCTCAATCCCTTCATCTGCCAGCCTGTATTGATACAGGGGATCACCCTGACCCATGTGCAGGACCCAGCACTTGGCTTTGTTGAACCTCATGAGGTTCACACAGGTCCATTCCTCGAGCTTGTCCAGGTCCCTCTGGATGGCATCCTGTCCCTCATGATAGGAATTATGATTGCTATTATTTTGAAAGTATTTTTTTTCTAGCAAGTAGTTAAATGTATTGCATTCAGTGAGGCTTCTGAAAACAGTGTAATTACGGAACATAGTCTAAAACACAAGAAGATCTACAGCATTTTTAAAAAGCTACAATGTCCAGATAACTCCTGTAAGAAGTGTATTGTGCAGGTAAACTGAGGACCATGTAGAAACTGTAAAACAAGAGTGCTCATGTGGAAATTGCTTATATTTGGTGTCATTTTACTATATCTGTGATTCATGAAGGAAACCGTTTTCATTCTTGTGTAATATGTGCCTGTTATCCTGTTATTTCATAGAAACTCCTCAAGTTAGATTTGTTTCACATCTCTCTTGTGAATTACTTCTATTGAAAACTGAGTATTTAAATCACGCTTAGTAACTTATTAAAATATTTTAACGGATCATTTGAATCACAATCTTCTATGAGTTAAAAGGTATTTTTGTTATGATCTTATCAGTGATACTATATTATATTGTTATCTTTGGAACAATCCCAAATTTATCTATACATCTCCTTCACAATGGCAACTGCTCACATTTATGAGATGAATAGGGTATTAAGACATAATTCCAGCATGCTGGCAACTGTGGAAGGCATTAATTCTTTAGCAAAGGCTTGTGTATATGAAGTAAATCAGCCACACACCTATTTTTCACACTTATAAAGGAACATCATCTTACATGTATGCAATTTATGACTGGCTAAGGACAATGGCTAAAAATATCAAGCTATGTGTGGTCATTTACTTTAACAGACTGTTACTTACCCTAGTCACTGTTGTTTGACCACATCTTTAGTTATTAACGGAAATCTTTACAGTATCAAGTTTCCTATCAGTCTAAAATCAGTATGATTTAATATTAGTAATATTTCATGTTAGTATTTACAATGGTACCAACCACACCAGACAGCACATAAGACCAATTATTCATGAATTTAATAAATAAAATTGCTAGTCAAAAAGAGGTTACTTAAACATAAAATATTTCAAATAATATAAAAATGCACTTTAGCACTTCCTTTTGATGTAGTTTAGATTTTCCTAGGCTCAAAAAATTATTTCACTCTCTTACTTAAATATTTCTTGTAGGGCAAGCCAGAGTGCTGTCAACTTTCCTGCTTCAGTGCTGAATTTGAACGGCCTTTATACACTGCACGCTTTTAAAAATGACATGCAGGGCTTCCAGTCTATACTCTGCTCCTTCCTACTGGTTTCCTCATATATTGCCTATGCTAGATACAGCCTCTCTGCACAGCCAGACAACTTTGCATCTGGGCAACACTAAGTATTTGGCTTTCCCTTAGGAAAAGGTTAAAGAGGCTTGAGATCCTAAGGTACAATAACACTGAACTGCACATTACTGGGAATAGGGACAGAAAAGCCAGGTGGTAAAAAGTGGAGAAACAGAATTAAACTACCATTAAGAAGGGAAAACACTAAATATGGGTTGTACTTGATATCAATGAGTCACTACTGACAAAGACAGTTCCCATGCAGCAGAACTCTCCCCCCTAAACATCACAGTCCATATTCTACAACATGGTTTGTATTGACCCTTCTCTGACTATTAGGTCTTCAGTTTACAAGTTTTCTTCAATCTAGATGTCTCTAGCCCTAAAGAGCAGGTATTTTTAAGTCTCTGTTTATTTAAGGCAGCGCGTTGGATCTGACTTTCTGTACTGCTCTTTGTTAACACTCTTGGAAGAAGACTATGTGGGGACTGGGAAGGGGTAAAAAAAGAAAAGATGGTCTGAGATTTGTTGTTATTTTTGCCAGGCTTCATTTCCCATTGGCTGGCACAACAACTAAAATATCTTTTCTTTCAGTAAAATACACCCTTTACACGGCTTTCAGCACTGAAGCACTCTTTTGTTAACAGGAAAGATACACTATGAGTGACTATCTCAGACTGCTCATTTATGGACCTCAGTTACATTGCAGATGCTGAAGTCCAAATGAGCAATTCATCTATACCACTCTTCAGTGCTGATATTTTTTCCCCCCAAAAATTTCTAAGTGTTCATGCAGAAACATTGTCTGAGAAGCAATGCACCTTCTACCTGCCAAAGGTATTATGTCATGTTTCCAGCTTGAAATATGGAGGTGCCTTATTTCCATAGGGACACAGTCCCCTAAGTCACTCATCATGAGTATATTAAAATATGATGACAGAATTGAGTTCAGCAAAAATCAGAGCAGCTTCTTTCACTTTCATGCAAAAGCACCTATTAACGGTCACTCATCTGACAAGTGCCTAAACTCAATACAGGACCAAACATTCGTGAACATCTTTACAGCACACTTTTCCTATTAGCATTCTAGGTCATGCAGGCTGGACGCAGCCTCTCTCATTCATCAGGCCTTTGGGCTACTGTCTGACACGGTTTTACCTCAAAGTTTCTCAGACTTTGGCATGGGTCAAAGGTTGGACAAATTAGTGTGGTGGTCAATGATCTGCTCTGCAGTTTGCCCTTCCCAAAGGACCTTCTGACCACTTCTACTCATCAGGCAGGATGGGCATCATGACTACAGTGCAGATACACATCTGGTCCATGATGGGCATCCACAAACAGTACAGAGCAGACAGAATCAACAGCGTATTTGCCATGTCACAGAAATTTTGACCATGTGATATGTTTGGTTTTGACCATGTGGTCACTGTATAGTTATTTATGAAAACCAGTTTAATAACTGTACTAATAATATGAAGCTAGAAGTACTGTACATTTCATACCCTTTATTATTATCAAAATGAGATATGAATGCTACCATCATGTTTTGATAAATTTTTAGGGGCATTTTGTTAAGAAGAATAATTCAGATTGAATGAAAAAAAGAGATTTGAAAACATTTATACGCCAAACTGTATAATTACACATTTTAAAGGGGAATAGCAGGCTCCTTTATAAGTCATGTTATATTTTATATTTGAAGTTTGTTTGAAAACAGTGAAGTTTGCAAAGTGTTCAGTGAATTGATATGATAATTCTTGAAACAGGAATTGTCACAGAAGTTACACAGTCTCATCAGCATGGAAGAGTTGCTCCTCAATGCTCATCTGGGTTCCAACCTAGTAAACTACCTAAGCATATCACATTTGTCTTACAGCTAGATAAGTAGGAATTTATGCTTTGCTGCATAGATCTTATAAAAAAACGGTTAATGAATTGTTATATTTTTCTACAAAGTCAAATAAAGGTTGAAAAAATATTAACAAAACTAAGAAAAAAGTCTGTTGTATCTGACACATTGTTGCCATTCTTGCCTTAAAAATCTGATTTAAAGAGTAAGGTCTGCTTATTCTTGCTGCCAAGATCTGTCACCTACATCTGTCTAGATATATTGATTACATTCAGTAAATCAATGTATTGTACTGCTACCAAATATAGTAAAATGTGTATGTTTCTGAGTTGTCAACTGGCTTTTTTTTCCGGACATCTGCTTAAATGTATTAGTCTCTGGAAATGAAGAGAGACATACAGAACTCTCTAGCCATGTTCTGTTGCATTTTATTAGATAATTATTTGCAACTATCAATAGATATTCACATGAGAAAAAGAGTAACTTCTGCAGTGACCTTTCTTGCATAACTCTGCAAGAAAGAAGTGCTTAAAATATTTATAGAACATAAATAACTTAGCTTAACTGAGATATTGAAAAAACACTATTGGTACTTACTGAGTGGCAGCTGGACTATTCAAATATGGCCATAACAGTAAAAAATAATCATGTGTTTAGTGCTTTATATCCTCTAAGCTCCTTGCAAATATTCATGACAATGTTTCTAAAACAGTGAACAAGGAAAAATCACTTAGACTTACCCACATTTAATCTGCCTGTGACTTCCCCATTTGAATTGCGAGCATTCACAGTCACATTGTGAGTAGACTGGAGAAGCAGTGATGAGTCCTGAAGTACAAAGAAAAAAAAGTAGATTGAACAGAATACTTAGAATTGTTAACAATTTTCAAAATTTAGTGCAGTGTTTATAGTAACTCAGCCACTGAGAGAGCTCTGCAGCTACAAAACCATCCACAGATGACATCAAATACTTCGGGCAGATATTTTTGATTACTTCAACTATATCATATTTAAAATAAGAAAAAAATTATAGAGAATGCTTCAGGTGAACAAAACCTCTGTTACTGACCCAACGAACATGGTTGCTAACATTTTATCTTTTGGAAAAAAATGCTTAAGTACTAGATTTACTGCCTTTCAATACATAATTGAGACTTCTAGAGGACAGCCATTCAACTGAAGTGTAAGTACCCCACTTCGTGAATTTATACTGTCATATTAGCTTGGTGAGAAACACGTATTTGCATTCTGCTTCCTCAGTGGTCCATGCAGCATCTATGCTTTGGCTTGATTTTGGCACCTGGCACTGACTCTCCTGGCAAGGAAGCTCAGACAGCGAGTGATGGAGAAAGTGGCAGGTTGACTAGCTCAAAGCTGGCTTTAAGAGATGACAGTACAGATAAGAGTGTCAGTCTAAATTAAATTGTCTCCCTGTCCGCCACTCAGAAGGATGACAGAAGTGTATCAGGAGACTGGACAGCATTACCTGCTTGTCCACATCCCTGCACCATGATTTGAGCCTAATACCCCTTGTACTGTTCCACATCTGGTGTCCCAGTATACAAAATCACATTTGAAGGTCAAAAAGCAATGGCACTCATATTCAACTTAGCTCTTCTCAGAAGGTAGCATCACAGATGGGACATCTGCAGGGCAATCAGAGCCTCATGCCTACCCATCATTCTGTGCTACTTATGGAAGCCAGGGCACGCCAGGCTTACCAGGTGTAATTGGTATCTTCATTCATCCCTACCACACCTTACCACAATCCAGTCTAGCTATGGTAGGCAATTCAAAATTTAATGTCATTCTTAGACTGCAGCCAGCACAGAATTACTTCACTAGACCCCAAAACATCCTCTTGTGTTAACTCATGGCTTGGTTTTGTGCTTGTTGAACTCCTCCCAGGCAATGTACCTTTTCCATTACTTATTCCTAGACCTTCCACTCGAACTTCTCTGTACTTCAGGCCTGTTGGAGCCTCCCCAAGCTTCTCCTTGTCTTGAAGAGCAGATGAGTAACTGTTTTGAAAGACCTAGCTGCCCACCGTGCTCCATCAGACTAGATATACAGACAGTAATGAAACCAGTTCATAGCAAGACACCTGTTAGGGTCATTTGGAAGTGTCCTAAAACTTTATGAGGAGGTCAGTGAGTGGGTTCTTATGTTTTTCTTCAATTTACCATCGGAATTGTCTTTAAATGCAGCTGATTTTCAGGGAGATCATACTGGCCACTGCTTTAATTGCTTTTAAGTATCAGAAAATTATCTGGGGACAAAAAGTCTGATCGCACTCACTTGGATCAGCAAATTGTAGCCACACTGGTAGACTTAAAAAGATGGAAGTTTTTTGCAGTACAAGTGCTTTCATTCTAAACCATACTTTGTATCTAAAGGACAAGAACCTATTTACTGATAAGAGTATCTAAGCAGATCTCAGTTGCCAAAGCATCAGGGTGTACATGACATAAAGAGGGTATTGGCAAGCTGCCTGCTTGTGACCTCAGAGAGGATACTCATTCCTAGATAAATAAGTGAGTTTCTATCTACTGGAACATTGTTAAAGATCAGTCTCTTTCACATATATGGCTTCTGGTACTTTTTCTGGACTCAAGAGAGACTATGCAGCACCTTGAAGGGCTAAGCCCTGAAAGTCACTCCCAAGTCATGTTCCCATCATAATTTAATGCTCAGAGTAGAAGATACTCTTAACAAGGCGAAGTGCCAGGTCCTGCACTTGGGTCACAACAACCCCATGCAACGCTACAGGCTTGGGGAGGAGTGGCTGGAGAGCTGCCCGGCGGAAAGGGACCTGGGGGTGCTGGTTGACAGCCGGCTGAACGTGAGCCCGCAGTGTGCCCAGATGGCCAAGAAGGCCAACAGCGTCCTGGCCTGTATCAGAAATGGTGTGGCCAGCAGGAGTAGGGAAGTGATTGTGCCCCTGTACTCGGCACTGATGAAGATGCATCTTGAATACTGTGTTCAGTTTTGGGCCCCTCACTACAAGAAGGATGTTGAGGTGCTGGAGCGTGTCCAGAGAAGGGCAACGAAGCTGGTGAGGGGTCTGGAGCACAAGTCTTCTGAGGAGCGGCTGAGGGAACTGGGATTGTTTAGTCTGGAGAAGAGGATGCTGAAGACGTGGAGGTGGACGCTGTTTCCACCTTGTTGCTCTCTACAACTACCTGAAATGCAGTTGTAGTGGGGTGGGTGTTGGTCTCTTTTCCCAAGTAGCAATAGGATGAGAGGAAACGGCCTCAAGTTGCGGCAGGGGGGGGTTAGATTGGATATTAGGAAAAATTTCTTTACTGAGAGAGTGGCCAAACATTGGAACAGGCTGCCCAGGGAAGTGGTGGAGTCACCATCTCTGGAAGTGTTCAATAAATGTGTAGACGTAGCACTTCGGGACATGGTTTAGTGGGCGTGGTGGTGTTGGGTTGATGGTTGGACTTTGATGATCTTAAAGGTCTTTTCCAACCTTAATGATTCTACGATTTATAACCTGAGAATTTTCAACAAATTTTACATGAAGAATTTTTACTACACACACATTGAATAACAGTGGTAGAAGCAATACACAGTTTGGAGTCCAGCTTATACTTAAAAAAAAAAAGGATATCTTACAAAGAGGAAGATAGGCTATCTCAAAAGAAGTGTATTGGGTCTGGCTGAGATGGAGTTAATTTTCCCTGTAGCAGCCCTCTTAGTGTTGTGCTTCATACTGGTAGGTAGAAAGGTGTTGATAACACACCAGCGTTTTGGCTGCTGCAGAGCAGTGCTCACACAGCATCAAGGCTGTCTCTCCAACATTCCACCCCCTGCCCAACAGTAGGCTGGGTGTGGGCAAGATCCTGGGAGGGGACACAGCCGGGACAGCTGACCCAAACTGGCCAAAGGGATATTCCATACCATATGATATCTGCTCAGCAATAAAAGCTAAGAGAAAGGAGGAGGAGTGGGGGGCATTTGTTTTTCTGACATTTGTCTTCTGGAGCAACTGCTATGTGTACTGAAGTCCTGCTTCCCAGGAAGGACATCACCTTCTGATGGGAAGTAGAGAATACTGCTGATGGGAAGTAGAGAATAAATCTTTGTTTTCTTCTGCTTCCATGCACGGCCTTTGCTTTTTCTTTGTTAAACTGCCTTTACCTTGACCAACGTCTTTGATTTTTTTTTTTTTAATCCAAGTTTCTTCCCTCTGTCCTGCTGAGGAGGGGAGTGATAGAATGTCTTGGTGGCACCTGGCATCCAGCCAGGATCAACCCACCACAAGAAGTCACTAAGTGAGCAAACTAAATGACTCTCATTTTGTAAATTATATGAAGAAAAAGTGAAAGCTAGCAGAATTAACACAAATAATGAAAAGTCTTAGGAAAAAAGTAAGCAGTCTGTTAGAATGAACATAATAGTAAGAAGTTGGTATGAAGTAGAAAAGGAAAATCAACAAAGATCAGGTAAATATATTACATTTCAGTACATTGTGCTAAGTGACCCACAAATCTGGGCACCTTTATTACACTTATTTGACTGCCACTGGTTGATTTAAAAAGTAAGTTAGTAATTTGTAATATCAAATGTAAGTGCAAATAAACCGTATTCTAGACCTGTAGCTTCCGCATGTGTGTTGTTGATTAATTCAAATCTAGTAACATTTATGAATGCTCATCTTTTATCTTCCCATGAATATGTATTAGCTGAGATACAACGGTCTTGCCCACAACTCTGTGTGGAACTCATAATGAAGGCATAAACTTGTAACAGGCTCCAGAGATGATGTACAGCAAGCAGATTTTCTGCTACATATTTTCTTAGCACTTTGGAGAAAGCTGTTAGGCAACTATGAAGGCAAGGGAGAAAGCTGCTATGATAGCTGTAGGTGGCCCAATTCTCTAAGAGACAAACTTAGAAAAAGAAATCATAACAAATAAGCAACTTTATGCGAATATATAGATGGCACGCAGGAGATAAGCTACAGTCAATTAAGCCTCTAGAGAGTTCAAATATTTTAAAAAGCAAGTAAGCAAACAAACAAACAAACAACCTCTGATGAATTATCAGTTCATAGGGGGCAGAGATATGCAGTAGCCTGAAGGCTCTAATTAATGCATGCTGCTAATGATCATGATGGGTCATTAGACAGCTGAGCTTATATTAGATGCTGCCACACCTCTTTCTTCCTATATTGTGCTAAATGTATTAAAAGCTGGAAGGAATATTAAAAGAGCACGAATGGTAGCGTCACATTGCATAACAATTTTTTTGGGCAGAGGGAGTTCTTAAGTATTAGCTATGCTGGTCTTAAAAAATTACATATCTTACTGGATAAACAACCTCAAGGGAAATCCATTTAAGCACATAAATAGTTTTCCCACTGCCTATGAGGCAGAAAAGCATACAGCATAAGAAACAAAACAGAAGTACAGATTTAGTAATGGAATTTCACTGTCTAAGTCTGCTCCTGCTGCTGGAAATACTTGTTGCAGAAAAAGAGAAAAAGAAAGGCTTAATAGTCATAAAACATGTTGGCATTGCTTAAAATTTAGTGATCAAGCATTTTAATAATCTCGTTCTGATAATTTATTTACTCTCTTGATACAGTGATACAAACACAAACTTTTTCCCTAGGTTCAGAAAAGTCTCATAGCTGGCTATTTCTTCTCTGTGAGGATGATTACATGTTTAAGGAATGAAAGAGCTATATTTGGCTTTTATTCTCATTGAATAGTACTTTATTCAATGAAATGTCCCATTGGTTGATGACAATGCTCATAAAACATGGCTTTACTTTGTGAGAGTTTGGATTACAGGTGATAGTTCTGAAAAATAATCATTTGTTGGCCAGAGACAGGTATCGCTCTACAAAAAAATTCACTGGAATAAGTTTCAGAGGTCACCTGAATAATTAAAAAACAATTCAGATTCTCTCTTCCTTCTTCTAAACCAAATACTTCAATAAAAATCTTTCATACCATACTCATTCTCAGTGCCATTTCAAAGTTTATCTGCTTAATAAATATTTTCTTGACCAATTATGTTATTCCTTTTTTCCTCAATAATAATAAAAACAAAATTTTCTGTCTATGTAAATCCTGAATCTTTCCATTTAGTCTTGTAGATTTGATATATATAAAGATGTAAAGATACAATACACATAATATTGTTGTCCTAGAAGTGACAAACCCTGGGCTTATTAGAGAAATAGTAACTTTTCCAGTAGGATCCACTAATTTTAGAGATATTGAAACTATTCTGTAATGGATGAATAAACAAAACAAGCAGTTTCACAGGGCAGCCTGCATTAAGAGATAGTCTCAGTAAAAATAATGAAAAACTTCCTACACACTTAAAATCTTAGCATTACTTATATACATGCCTAAGAGAAAAATGTTTATTCTGCCATAGCATCAGAACATTGACCTAATGATAATGCTTGTAAAGTGTTCAAAAATATGTGTGTATACATGTATACGCACACATATACACACACACACAGATGTATCTATTCCCATGACAGATGCCTGGACTTCGCCTAAATTCAACTGTTCATAAGTGCATTAATGTTATTTTAGCTTATTGAAAGATTATCTGCTCACCACTCGAGAATGGATTTCTTTGGCATAAAGAGGGAATAAGAATTCCGATTCTCCTTCCAGACGAAGGCCTTCTTTCGTAACACGCAGGTGTCCCATTCCAGTCTGAGGAAAAGATGCAAGAATTATTCACATCTTACTATTGTTGCTGCATTTATTTTTTGCTCATTTCATAAACTGAAATTTTCCAGAGCTGCCTGCCTCCAGTCTACAGACAAAGATACCCATACTAATGCACTTAAATTTTTGAGACTTCCTCATTTCTTCCAGGAGTATTTTTAAGAAATTGTAGCTTTCAAGAAGTTATTAAAGTTGGGATTTTTTTTTTGAGAAAAAAAATACTATTACAGTTATTAACATAAACAGAAATGCATTTGTATTGGCTGTGCTGCAATAGCCGTTGTACTTGCCTTCTGAAATGTCATGAATGATAAACTTTTACACATGAGTAAACAAAACTCATGTTAACAGCTCAAGGTTTATTACATCAATCATGTATTTTACAAGGAATATAATACTTCTAAGGCTACTGAAGGGACAAAGAGGAATTTTTATTTGCTTCCATTTTCAGTAATTACTTCGTTCTTTTTAATTAATTTTGCATTCCTTGGTTTATCTTTTTTTCTCCTCTAATTATACTTCAAGGCTCCATCTCTCACTATCATCTTCCTTTCTCTCTGTCACCTGCTTGTCCGCTTTTGTACCTTTCTTAGGAATTGTAGCCCAGTTGTGCTTTCCAGCCCTTATTTCATCCTTTTTGCTTACTCTCATCATTATCATAGAATTGACAATGTGAAAAATAAGTGAGAAATTACTTCAGTAAATACACCTGAGGAATTGCAGCCTTCAGCTGCAAGGTATTTCACAGGTGTTTAGCTAAGCTGTAAAGGAGTCACTATAAAAAGTGAGAGAAAGCTCAGTAAAAAATTTGCAGCCTTACAGTGTGGCTGCATGTGAAAATATTTCAAGTCAACTGTCTCAAACTACTAGGAGTAGGTGGGAGGATTAAATAATAAACAATACATCCAAAAAGTATTTCCACTCCAAATACTTTTCATGTTGTTCTGTATGAAGAAGAGATACATGACAGGTCACTGATGATACATCCATAACCTGTTCATCTAACGGATTCTGCCTACCACTGAAAAACGTGGTAACTTTAAGAGACTGTGATTATTTTCAAATATGGTATGTTCTCACCAATGAGATTATATATATATTTATTTAAAAATATATAATGCTAAATAACATTTTTAATAAGCCTTCAGTGAAAAACTGTGGCTATTTTCTTTTAACAGGCTTGAAGAGCTACAAAGAGAGAAACAACCTGTGCATAAAGTAAGAAATCTTCATGTCAGCAGTTCTCTCCACTGGAGAGTACAACTGTGATTCCTCCTCAGCGAGGATTTACTTCAGGAAAAAGACTTTTAGAATAGCTTCTTATGGAGTCTGTTATTCAGTGTCAAATATTTTACTCCTTTGAAACCCATAATGTACTGACTTTTCTCAGTGGAAGTAGATACAATTTCTAAATTCTAAACCATTGCAAAGCTTTTAAAAAGTACCTAGTATATACTTATGCATCTCATGAGGCAAAATTAAAATGATGCCTATGGTAAGCCCCGTATGGCTTTCTTAAACAGAATTTCTAGGCAGCACTGAGTGATTTAGAAATACGTTTTTCTAATGAAGATTATGGACAGTTTTTTCCCCACTTGTAACACAGAACAGAGATCGCTTCAACATCATAAAACCACATAGGTTTTAAGAAAAACACTTTTGAAAAATAATGACATGAAATATCAGGATATTCTAAAGAAATACCACTAACAAATGGATCTTATTTAATTAACTAAATTTAAGATTTCAATATTGCTCTGATTGCATGCTTTTCCTATCAGGTGAAAGTATATTATATTAAGCATAAGGTTTAAACACAGTTTGCTTATTTTTCCTGGAATATAAGGAAATAAATAAACAGTATGTTATGCAGTAAGTATAAAAATGACATTGACAAATCTGAAATTCAAGAAGGCAGAGGAAGAAGTAGCAATTAATTCTTGCTCTGAAGGAAATCAGGGAAAATTAACAAACTCCTGGGTGGCAATCTTTATCCTGCCCTCGGTTTTGCCAGGAAGAAATTTTTAGTACAGACAAAAACCCTATAATTGATGTTGAAAAAGAAGATTATGCAATTTACTCAGCGCACTCGTTCTAATGGATTCAGATTGTTCAGTGATGATCATTCTAAATATGCTATAGAGACAAAGGAATGTCTTTGATATCAAGAATAATATGCCATATGACAAAACTTAGCACTTTAACTTATCTATAAGTTCTTATTTTTCAGTAAATTCAGTCATATCACTCAGGATTACTTTGTATAAGTATGTCCTCAAGTATGTCTGACTTTCTTCATCAGATATTCCATTTAAGCATTAACACAAAGCTCACATTCTCACATATTTGAATAAAAGCCTCATTATTCATTCTCATTGTTCACTCAGGAAGTGAAAAAACATACGAAATTTAGACTTGGGTTACCTGTATAAATGACTATCTGTGTCATGTGATGATGAACAGATAAACTCTGTAACATGCATGAGGAAAACAAAAATGTGGAATTCATATAATTATCGTCACTTTTAGTACCGTTGTGACTGTAAACAATTATTATTTCCTTAGCATCTCAAGATTGTAAAAGTACTGAGTTATGCAGTACTGTAAGATGGGGAAATTCTGTTGCCCCCTGTTATAGTTGGCAAATTGAAGTTACATAGAATGTAAGAGAGAGGGATTTAGGATAAAAAAACACCCTAATGCACTGAGATCCAATGATAAGTTCCATAAAAAGGAGTATAATAGTTACACATAATGTTCTCTCAGTAACCACTCTGCTTCTCACATTACCATTTAGGAGAAGCCAATTATTATTTACTGAGTATTTTGACTTCCTCAGTGATGAACAACCAATGCTTTCAGTTTCAAGGATTTGATGCTGTTCCTATTCAAATCATTGGATAAAAAGTATTTCTATTGACTTGAGGACAGGGTCCAAATTTCAATCAGGCATGGACTTTGATGCAGTTATAAAATAAGCTATTGATTAGGAAAGAAAATTTTATGTTATGCTGTTGACAGGAGTTTTATGTTACGCTGTTTTATGTTATGCTCCCGTTATGCTGATCTTGGTGACTGTCACTGCATCAGTGTGCTGGCCCTGAGCTGTAACACATTGTTGGGGACTTAACCCTGAGGCTCATGTTTTCTAATTACTCAAAGCCCTCAGCAAGGCAGGGACTGCGCTGTGTAGAGGAGGAGGATGAAATGGTATCTCTGTAGACACTAAGCAGATTTTGCTGTTGCTGCAAGGGGTTGATGGGCATGGAAACTGCTAGCAGCTGCCAAACCCTTATGCACCAAAGATGCAATTTAGCATTAGTGTTCACAAAGGTGTTGCCAGTTTTCATTTCAAAACTGCTAGGCAGTTTCTAATTGGAGTAACAAGATGTCTTCAATTGCAGTAGAAGCATTTTTCATCATTTGAAAATGCTCTTGAGGAAGTAAGTGCTTGTAGAAACAGGGACAAGGCCTTCTAGAAGTTCAAGCCTCATAAAAGCTCAAGAAAAGGCTTGATTCAGAAATCACGGTCTAAAGGATACTTGAGAGCTATTCAGCAAATTGTCTACAGAGAGATACTCCAAACCACCTGAAATAAGTAGCTATCACTACTAGGATCCTACATAAGACTCATTGTTTTATGGAGCATCTGGATAGGAGGACCATCTTGGATGGGTTATCATTCTCCTAGACACTAGACACAACAAATATAAAATATTTTTCCTCTGAACAAAGGGGAAGCAGTTCCATTCTCCACAAAGTAGAGAAGTGTAGTATGTCCCCAAGCTGTGGAAAGGTCCTTAAGTTTCTTTCAGAGGACTATGGAAGGACCGAGTCTTTCATCAGGACCAAAAAGTTCTAAAAGTCATACTGATGGGCCTGGTAGTATTGACCACCGCCTTCTGGCTATGAATGTCTATGTTGAGGAAAATATAGACATAACTGGATAAAGCAAGTTTGCCAGGATTGACACGGCTAGCATTAAAGGCCTGTCTTCTTAAAACAGGATGCAAGAACTTTCCCACTTCCACCTGTTGTCATAGAGGGACCTGCTGCTCTGGCTCAGGACCAAGAAAGTCACTTGGAAAGAGATGCGCATTGCACACTGCTGTGGGACTATTAGGAATAGAAGCAAGCAGCTTTAGCTCTAGGGCTCTTTCACACATAGTGACTTTCTCAGGCAGCTGAGCTTCTTGCTGTGTAATGCTTATGGATTCAAAAGAGCATCAGATGATATATTTGGGATTTATCTCCCAAGCCAATATAATAATGTAGAGGTCTGCTGCTGTAGGCACATGGCCCTTAGAAATGAGGATGAAGCATGAGGAACATTCATTCAGTTTATGATGAGTATTTCTAGTCACCTAAATCCCATCAATAACTGTAACTTGCATTTTCCTACCAACACAGAAACTGATACACGTGGGGGCTTACTATATCGGGTCAACCATTCTTATTATTATATCGTATCATCACTATTTCTGCACCTTCTCAGCATGAGACTCAACTGCAGTCCTCAGACTCCTCTAAACAATGGAAATTAAACTTCTGATCCATGTATTGGCTAATAGTTGCACAGGAAGATGTATATTTTCTGCTTTTGTGGAGAGATCAAATACTGGAAACACAGGCATACCCATATGTTAGGATGGTTAAAACAATAAAATCTCTAAGTTGATCAAAACATTAGCTTTAATGTGCACTCTATTCAAATTAAAGTAGCTTCTGTCTCAGGAGTTAATAGCATGTTTGATTTGTAATACCTGTTCCCTAAATATTCAGATTTTCCAAATATTACGCATGCAGTAGTTGCCAGTTGGAACCGATAATGATACTAACTTCAGAGTAAACAGGATGCAGCATTTCCCTTCAGATAATATTATCTTACTTACAGGATACTTACATCCTACTTTTAGGCCAGCCCAGGGAAAGACCTTGGCAAATTCAGACCAAGACATCATTTGTTGTGCCCCAAAGCTAGTTCA